GGGCAAAAATGGCCGCTCCCAGACTCAGTGATCGCAACGAAAATTATTGTTTTTATTTTTTTACTGATAAACGCTAAATTCTTTAAATCAGAGCAAACGTATTAGTTTTAGGTATAAATAATGATGCACTGATTCTCCTTTAAATGTGAAACTTGTTCAACATCTATCTGGCTTCACCCAGATATCATGCATTTATTCAATTCAACTCCATTCAATTCAGTTTATTTCTATAGCACCAATTTACATCATGTCATCTTAGGCACCTTCCAGTTCACCAGATAATTCAGTCAAATTGATTCAGAATGATAACGCAGCAGCTACATATCTCCTTTTTTGAAGAGAGGTCGATTCGGAGATCATCCATTTTGTTTTCCAACGAGCGGACGTTGGAGAGCTGGATTGAAATCTATTTTTAGCTGCAAATAAAACCATGCCTGGGCTTCCTAAATGCAATGAAACGGAGCTATAGCCTAAAAACACAGAATAAATCTTAGTATTTTACACTTCAGAAAAGCTCTAGAGGATGCCAACGTCATCTGCTTAAACATGTGAACTGGAACTGATTATAACACTGATATTAAAGCAGTCAGAAGATGAAGTTTTTAGGCAGCATTTAAATGTCTACTGGAACAATAGCGGCATGTAAGGTTCGGCCTTTACTCACTCATTGTCAGTGTGGGTCAGCTTTAAAAAGATAAATATTTAGGAGCTGAATTTCCAAAGCTTTTTCCCCAAACAGGTCAGAAAACACTTCTGTCACCAGCTGAACGTATAAAGAGCATCGTAAAAGATGTTATTGAAACCTTTGCTCCATCTGTAGGGGGCGCCGTTTGTAAAGTTAAAAGATCAAAAATTAGGAGCAATATTTATGGTTATTTAGCTGTTTTTTAAGAGAAAAATCTAGGGGAATATTTTTTTCAAACAAATTTTTCACTGTCATTTATTCATTTATAAAAATCGTACTTTGTTAAAAAAAATATTTTGCAAATTAAATATTTAGTTTGTTAAATAATTATTTAGCTCTAAATTAAATATTTATTTAACAAACTAAATATTCAGCTAGCTTGGTGCTAGCTGAATATTTAGCTAATATGCAAATTCACTTGCCCAAGAAGCGGAAGTGGACTATCAAAGTAAAAGCGTGGTGTCATGATTTAATTAAAGATCTAAACCCCAAAATGCAGAGGACCAAACAGAGAGACCAGGGGAAGTTTAACAGGTTTATTAGAATATGGTGATGAATCCAGTGCTGCTCAGAACACTGTCAAACCGGAACTGGAAGGTGAGGGGAAGACACTGCGGTTAGTTCAGGCTCAGTGGGAAATTAGATTTTTAGGCTTGAATTGGAGGAATAGGTAGCAAACTCACTTCTCCAGGAAAAGGTGTCCATTTTGGAATCCAGTCTGTGTGGGAAGATTCCAGTGATTGTCTTGTTTGGTGATGGGCGGACGGGGTTTACTCAGACTGCGGTTATTCCTAGGAGAACGAAGAAGCCGACTGCCACTCAGATTTCCTGCGGTATATAAACTGGCTGCGGTGCAGATGAAACCTTTGCTCGGTGTGAAGCTCAAACAGCCTCTTGGGGAAAGTGGATCCAAACTTCCTGTTTGGAACCCCAGCTTATGTAGAAGCTCAGTTGATCCTTCCAGGGAGAGAAGGACCGAACAAATCCAGTTTGCAGGATGACTTCCTGCCGAGAGGCAAAGACAAAAACAAAGTTTAGACTCAGGTTTACAAAAACTCATTTGCACCCTGTTTAGGCACACACTCTGGCCTCGAGGTAGTGGCAGTCAGCAGCTTGAGAACACTCCACAGATAATGAGGCAATGAGCTGCAGTTGTGCAGGGAGAACCAATGAGGACGGGGCACCACCTGGTGGCGGAGGAAAGGAAACACAAAAACAGGCCACACAAACTGGATTCCTGACACGTGGGAATATCTACACTCCTGCGGCTCAAGAAGAGAAACTGATCTCTGTTTAGTCACTTTGTCGTCAGCTGAATCCCAAACTACCCCCTAAGCACTAACCCTCAACTATCGAGTGTCACTCCCAATCAAGTCTCACTCACCGCTTCGGAAGGTGCATTGATTGAAGGCGGTGGTGGAGGGGTAGTGATCGAGAATGGGACGGCCTCTTCCCTCTAGTGGAAAGGGCAAGCAGTCGTTGCTATGGCAACACAGTGATGCCCCATGTGCGTGGCTGTAGTAGCTCTGTGGTGCAGGTTTGAAAAAAATAACCCCCTTATTTTTCTACTAAAACAAAATAACCATAAATATTGCTCCTAAGTTTTTACTGCTTAGCCTTACAAATGGCGCCCCATATTTCTGTGTCTTTGTGATTTTTATACTCTTTAAGGATGTTGAGGTTTTGGAATTGGCAAATGTATTTATATCCTTCCTGTTATTAATGTTTTGCAAACAGCACAAAAGATAACAACACTATTGTTTATTTTCAGCTTCAAGGTATTGCTACATTCAAAAATGGAAGCGAAGCAGAGAAAAGAATTGACCTGAAGCTTAAGGTGCAAGATGAGAATGACAACGCTCCAAAGTTTGACTTCTCTGTGGTGAGAGCTTGGGTGGATGAGCACAGTCCTAAAGGTCAGTAGTGCAAAAATAAAAAATAAAAAAACAACATAAAACAATAAATATAATTGTTTTTTTAAAAGTTGAATAAACTAATACTAGTGAGAATGTTTAATTTACTCAGTCCAAACAACAAGCACTCGACCATATCAGCATTTTTGTCTTTTGTTGTATTTCCTTTCACAGGGACGTCGGTTACAACAATCTTCGCCACCGATGCGGATGAACCAGAGACGCTCAATTCTAAGATCGCCTACTCCATCATCAACCAGATACCCCACAACTATTTCAGCATAACCAAGGAAGGCACCATCATTGTTAATAATTCTGCATTGGACAGAGAAGTATGTTCTCCAAAACTGGTGTTTTACTTTTATTTTAAACATGATAGACCTTTATCAATGAATCTGTATTCATAGCAAAGAGCTCAAAGCGTACACTAAGACCTTTACTTTCAAAAGGTTTGAGTTTATTAAAACTCCTGCAAACTCTTCCCCTGATCTCCAAAGCTATAATATAAACTCTTTCAGCTCAGCTTTGAATTTAGACATTAATGCAATCAATAAATCAGCATCCCGCACTATTTTTTATGCAATGATTTTGTGGTTGGAATAATTAATTAATTAAATAGACTTTCCCTACATTTTTTTTTTTTGCTAGTGATAAATACAATTTTTTTTTTCAGGAAGAAGACACGTACATTCTTACAGTGACTGCTGCGGATCTGGATGGTGCAGAAGGGGGACACACTGCAACAGGCACTGTCACTATCTACCTCGATGATGTAAATGACCATCCCCCAACTTTGGAAAAAACAGAAGTAGGTGTTACGTAAACTTTTATTATGCGAATTGCATCAGCAGAATAATCTCTGCAGATGTCAACATTTTTTGGACCAGTTAGCAATGTTGACCTTACTGCTGCTGAACGTCCATGTTTGCTCCTCTAACCCGAAGGCCTTATTAGGTGTTAGCAATCTATATAATATACCTGTAAGTATTATTACTACAGCTACTTCTATCCACAAATAAAGCTTCTGCTCGCTGAGCTCTGTGACGCATCTTCAACATATGGAAGCCTGTTTCTGCCACATGAAAGTAAAAATTACAACATAGAAAGACATAATTATGGGATAACTTTTACTTTCAAACTTTGTATCATACTTATGACTTTGAAAGTCAAAGTTATGACTTTGTATCTCATAATTATACGGAAGAGGATTAGGGTCAGGGGAAAAAAAAAAAAGTTAACTGATTTTATTTCAGTTTAACATGGGAAAAAAGTCAGAATTCGGACTTTAAT